CTTTTCGTCCGCTACTCTCGCAGCCCTTTCGATCTTATCGGCCGCAACTCTAGCCTTTATAACCGCAGCTCTCTTGGCCGCAGCCCTTGTCTTCTCGGCAGCTCTTTCCTCCACTGCGCGCTGCCACGCTAGTCTTTCCGTGTTTTCTAAATCGCGCTGTAACTAAAACAGAAAATATATATATATGGATATATTTATGTGTGTGCGTGTGTGGGTGTGTGTGTGTGTGGGTGGATGTGTGTGTATGGATGTAACATACTTGGATGATTACTTGTAAAACATGTGTAACGATTGAGTCTATCTCGCGTTATCAAATAAATAGTTCGGACTCTTTCTATTATATTTGTAATCTCGTTTCCGAGAGTAGCAAGAAGTTGACACGCATATATTCTATAAGAAATGAAATCTCAAAATTCATCGAATAGTAAACCCAATATTTTCTGTTTCGATGAATCGTTTTGAAATACAATTGAGTATAGTTGCATCTATCGGGGACAAGCCCGACAGCGCTGGAACAAACACTAAATCCAATTTCTTAGCAATTAATAATTTAATAGAGAGGAGATATCTAAAGCTACTTTTTCTTATAAGAGAGATAGTCTTATGAGATTATATTTAGTTTTGAGCGCTTAGGTATCGTAAGGAAAGGAATCAGCAGGCTAACCACTGAATAATGAAATTGCTAAGTGTTTATTTTAAATCAATGCTCGTGCTGCTAAGCAAAGTAGGATAGTGAATCCTCTTGTCGCAGCAACGAGCGAATTTATACTTGCGAAATCGGCTCCTTTCTACGCTTGGTAGCCCCTACAACGCTATTTTTGAAATTGATATAAACTTTGTACATGTTTTGTCGCAAAATGGCTCGATCGAAATTCAAATTTGACGATTTAAAAAATTAAGTGTGAAATAACGAATTTTTTAACATAAATCCTTTCTCGAGGAAAAATCGCCTTTTAAAGTTATAAGTAATATAATTTTGATAATCAAATAACACAAAATTTGCAATAAATTTTAGGAAAATTTTTACCAAAAAAAATCGCTTGTGATTAGTAGAACATTATTCAAATTAAAAACGATTAATATAACTATCCAATTTTGAATAATAATTAAAAAACGAATTTTCAAATTTTTTTTTATCCATTTAAAAATCAGCAAATTAGTAACAATCATTATCATTAATTTTACAGATATATACAATCGAATCGCTATCTAACAACGCAATTTTAATTGTTTAAATAAATTATAAATTATTTAATTATTGATAACTCAGTGAAAAATTAGTTACCAAAGTGTCAAATTCTTGCTTCTCTATTTCAATACGTTTCGAAAGCAATTGCATATTCTAATTAACAATATAATTAATTGTTGCAAAATAACTAACACTATTAACTTGTAAATTCAATTAAACTAATAAATACATATCTAATGACTACAATGACATGAAATTCAAGATCAGCGCATCAAAATTGACTAAAAAATGCTTTTGTTCATTTGAAAAACTTTGCAAATTGTCGATTTTGCATTGTAAACAATAAATTTCCCACGCTCGTGACGTTACGCTCCTTATATGGTCTTGTTTTCGCCGAATTGTCCTAACACATTTACATATATGTGAGAAGAGCGCCTTCACTCAATTACTGCTTTTCTTTGGTTTTCTCGTGCACGACGGGTTACTATTTGGCAGTAGGAAAAGGGACAAATCAGACCGGACCGTAACATATGATAAATATATCGCTTATATAACGGATCCACCATAATTATATTTAGCTGAAAAGACAAAAATTAAATTATTAAAAATAAATATATTTTACATTGTAACAGGCTGCCGTTTAACCTATAATAACCCTTGAACGTACCTATATGATGGCCAAACGACGCCTAGTTATCTATGTGCTCGAAGCACATCAACCTACCTTGTCCGGGAGTGCGCCTGCGCAGCGTCTCCTCGCCAATCCGAGTTGGGTTCCCCAACTCGCCACTTGGCGGCGCTGTCGCTCCTGCTTAGTAGCGCTCCTGCGGCTGCTGCTCGAAACTATGTTGACGATTCTCGTCTACCGATATCCGCGTGAACCGTGCTACGCTACCGGCTTATTTGAATCGAACGTCAACAAACGCGAACTCCGGACAAAGGAATGACAAAGCAATGACTCGATTTAGAAATAACGATTGATCGCTTTATTCAAATTAACCAAGTACACGGGGGATTTGCCGAGAGTCTTGCGCACGCAATCGCGAATGACAATACACGCTAGATGGGAGAGAGAGAGAAAACCGCGATCGCCGCGAACTAACCGCTCGCGCGCAACAAACAATTTCTTCGCGCACGCTGCGCGGAATCGCACGCTGACAACAATAAAAAGGGAAGGTGTACCTACCGCGAGAACGATGAGGATACGGTGGCCAACCGTATCCGATGCACGCGTCGCTAATTTGCTGCTCCGCCACTCGCTGCACTCCGCTGTTATTGCTGTTGTTGTTGTTGCTGCTACGGTTGTTGCTGTTGCTGCTGCTGCTGTTGCTGCTGTTGCTGCTGTTGCTGCTGCTCTCGCCGCACTCAGCACACCGCACTCAAGTTCTCGACGCTAACCTCGCACCACCAAAAGAAACGCGATGACGGCACTAAGGAACAGGTTAGCTCGATGCAGACGGACTGAGTGACACAGTCATACTGCCTGTTGAACTCTTCCCTCCCGGTCATTGCCCCTACGCGCCCTATCTCTCTCGCGAACCGATCGCGGCTTTTCTCGTTCAGCCGCTTATTAACCTCGCGCGAGTCGAACGATTTTTGGTAATCGTTGCAACATATTTATATTATATATATTTAAACAATCATTTAAATTTCTTATCACCGTCAATATCGAGAGTAATAAATGGTAAAATACATCTGTTGGTATACTTGCTAACAGGACTGGAGGAGTCTATAAAAAATATAAAAATTAATTTTTACAAAGCTTTCATTAGTAATAATGTGCATTTACATTAACCATGAATATAATCATAGCGTTGATGGTAGCCATTATTTGCAAATTATTCATTTTTATTTTCTTCTTTAAAAAAAAAAATTTGTAGAAATTTGATTCAACCTTCACAAAAAAATCACAAAAACATAGAAAAAATACATAATAAAAAATCCTTTTTTACTAAGTAGAAACTTAAAAGAACGTGATTTACTCTCGTTGAGAAGTGGTGAACGATTGACTATGGAAAAGATTTTCTGAAAAATCAGAATATTTTCTACTCTTCAAAAGAAACTCTAGTCAAATTACAAAAAATCTTTAAAGGAAGAGGAACATCGATTTCACTTCAGACGCTCAGCATGTGGGGGATTGTCCACGCAATTCATATTCAACATATATTGCTTATATACTGCTATCGTATTCTATGATCGTATTCTATGACCTTGAAAAATAATTTTATCAATAAATAAATGAAATAGCAACAAATGTGAAGTCAGAAATTTTTTTTAATTCAGATAAAGCAATAACTACGTATTATAAATTTAATTCAGATATTAAGTTGGAAATGATTACTTGTTTCATAGAGAATATGTACTATCTAACACGCTGATTAATACTAGCAGTATTTACAAACAAAGTGATATCCCTACTTTCATCAAATCAAACATAGTTCTACAAATATTTCTGTACTTCTGATCACAAGCTTATCAGTCGGTAGCGAACAGTTACAGTATGAGTAACTATTTGTGTAGTGTCTATGTATTGTGACCATGGCAAAATCGAGGAATTTGACTGTGCGTGAACGTAATAGCAGTATTGCACTATACGAACTCAATATGAGTCACCATGCAATTTCAAAAAAGTTGAACATAGACAGGCGTACAGTGGCATATAACATCAAAAAATTCCATGAAACAGGTACTGTACAAAATCGACGCTCACAGCGAAGAAGGAAAACTACTGTTAAAGAAAATAACTATATTTGCCAAAAAAGTGTACGTAATCGAAAGTTAACAGCACCTCAAATAACTGCTCATGTTAACGAACATTTAGAGAAATCCGTGAGTGTAAGCACCGTACAAAGACGTTTAAGAGAAAAAGGACTGTTTGGTCGAGTTGCCGTTAAAAAACCTTTACTGCGATGTGTGAATAAAAGGAAACGTCTACAGTGGGCAAGAGCACACAGAAACTGGACGATCGCCGATTGGAAAAAAGTTCTTTGGTCCGATGAATCGAAGTTTGAAATTTTTGGGAATAAAAGGAGAGTCTACGTAAGAAGGAGAGCTCATGAGAAATACAATAACGATTGTTTAATTCCAAGTGTTAAGCATGGTGGCGGCTCGGTCATGGTATGGGGATGTTTTGCTGGTTCAAAAGTAGGCGATATCGTTAAAATTGATGGAATTTTGAACAAAGAAGGTTACAAAAAAATTCTCCAATACCATGCAGTAAAATCAGGTTTGCGATTAGTTGGACAACCTTTTGAATTCCAACACGATAACGACCCTAAGCATACATCAACGATATGCAAAAATTATTTATCTAATTTAGAAAAACAAAAGAAGCTAAAAGTTATGCAGTGGCCACCTCAGTCGCCTGATTTGAACCCTATTGAATTACTATGGGAAGAACTCGATCGAGCCGTGAGAAAAAATAGCCCAAGTTCTGCCACTAATTTATGGGAAGTATTGAAAAGCGAGTGGGTAAACATCAAACAGGAGACTTTAGATAAGCTGGTTGCCAGAATGCAAGGAATCTGTAAAGCAGTGATTAAGCACAAAGGAGGACATTTTGATGAAAAAAAAGTTTAATTTATTCTGATTAATTTTAAGTTAGTATAAGAACAAAACTGAAGATTTAGCTTAATAACGACGACTAAATTTTACACGGGTTAATTACAAGGGCAAACGCGTGGTCCATGTACCGTAAAAGGAAATAAACTCAACCATCGGGTCGACGATGCGTCAAGATACCCTGCACGCGTATTCACCCTTAAAGTCAGCTAAGTTACTAATGAGAATACCATACCTTAAGACTCGACGACTAACGGTTACCCTCCAGGTACTTGAGCCTGAGGGCCCTAAGCTCCTCGGCTACCGGTGTAAGGGCGCCAGCACCATTGAGCCAATAACCACCCGCAGAAGTTACTAACGCCGGGGGCGCCACCAACGTATCCATCGGGGCAGCCTCCGACGTATCCATCGGGGCAGCCTCCGATGTATCCATCGGAGCGACCCCCGTCGAGAGCGAACTGGATTCGTCTCGCGACCGCGACTCCGCGCCGTTCGTCTGTTGACGAGCGCTTTTACTTGCCAGCCTCTTTCGATAAGCCTTACCCGATCGATGGCGCGGTTTTCGGGTAACCTCCGGAGTGGTGACCAGGGGAACCATCTGCCCCGCTGCCACTGGTCCCTGACTTTGAGGAGCCTGCTGTGGTGCCGGTCTGTCTTGTGGGACAGACGGGACGCTGGGCAGCGGCTCACTCAAGACCAAAGCTGGGGCATCTCTGGGGCTAGAATTAACCCTCGCTTATTCCAGCGAGTATGCCAAGCGACATCGTAGGCAATCGCTGACAGTTGTGTCCAACCGTCCAACCGTCAATTGCGGCAGTCGTCGAGTCTGAGCGGCGGCTTTGTGCAGTCGGCCCTGCGGTGAAAGCCCTTCCAGCAATTGAAGCACCTGAACGACGGGAGATCTAGCTGATCATCCCATGGCACAGACGCCAATCCCCGGAGAAAAGCCCCCCTCACGAGCCCGAACTGCACTTGAAGCGCCAGCCCTTACTGGCACACTCGCCGGGGCCGACCCAACTGGAGGGTTTTCCCCGCGCCTTACAAACCGAGTTACTTCAGATGATGTCGAGGCATACCCAGTTGTCGGCACGGGGAGAACGAGCAACGAGGCCAGAGGAGACGATGGACGTAGCAGCGGCTCTTCTACCTCCATAGGTCCGTCGACGCACTCACGGGGCCCAGGCCTTCGAGTCAATGATTGACTCGCCGCTTGAACCATAGTAGCCACGGAACGCTGGTCGGATTCCACCGATACAGCGTGCACAATCACACGAACCGATAGCGGCGGCTCCGGGTCCCTAGAGTGCAACGGCGACTCTATGTTGCAGGAAGACAGTCAAGCCGCGCCCTCTGTCGTCTCCGTCCTACGTTAACGCGTTTTTCATGTTCTCGTCTTCACTCATCAGCCGAGTAGCCAGCCGACGCGTAACCCCCCGGTCGACGAGTCCTTACAAATTGATAGGCCGGATCGAGCCCCTGGAGTCGAAGAGGCTTCCACGGCAAAAGTTCATGCACGTGCCTCTACGAGGGTGGTCCGATAAGTACTTAGCCTCACCGGCCGATGGCGCCACTCTCGCAAAAGAAATATTCTATCACGTAGTACAACCTTCTCGATGGTTACTGTCAAGATTTCAGCCGGATCGGAGTTGTAGTTTATTTTTGAGAGCGTGTGAAAGCAAGTGTGTCCGTTGATTCTTGAAAAATGGAAAAAGAGCAGTATCGGTCGGTGATTCGATTCTTGTTTTAGAAAGGGAAATCGCGCAACGAAATCAAAAATCGCTTGGATGCTGTGTACGGTGACTCTTCTCCTTCGTTGGCGACCGTCAAAAATTGATTTAACGAGTTTCAACGTGGTCGCACGTCGATTTTTGAAGAGCCACGTCCAGGTGCTCCGAAAACGGATACCACGGAGGATAACGTGACAAAAATTCACGATCTCGTATTGGCAGATCGACGATTGAAGGTGCGCGAGATAGCTAAGATCGTAGGCATCTCAAATGACCGCGTGGGTCATGTCCTGCGTGAAATTTTTGGCATGAGAAAGCTGTCGGCGCGATGGGTGCCGCGTTTGCTCACTCCGGACAACAAGCGCAACCGTGAGACAACTTCAGAGCAATGTCTGACGCTGTTTAAGCGCAATCCGATTGAGTTTCTGCGTCCTTTCGTGACAGTCGACGAAACATGGATCCACTGGCATACACCAGAGACCTAGGAACAGCCGAAACAGTGGACTTTACCCGGCGAAAGTGCGCCGAAGAAGGCGAAGACTGCCCCATCGGCCGGAAAGGTGATGGCCACCGTTTTCTGGGATTCACAAAGTGTGATCTACATCGACTACCTGGAGAGGGGCAAAACGGTCACTGGGCTGTACTATGCCGAATTATTGGGCCGATTCGACGTCGAATTGTAGAAAAAACGGCCCCATTTGACGAAGAAAAAAGTGCTCTTCCACCATGACAACGCACCGGCTCACACCTCCGCCGTCGCCATGGCCAAATTGGTCGAAATAGGCTACGAACTGCTGCCCCATCCACCGTATTCTCCAGATTTAGCCTCGTGCGACTTCTTTTTGTTTCCAAACTTGAAAAAGTCACTCGCCGGGCAGAAATTTGAGTCGAATGAGAAGGTAATCGCTGCCATGGAAGCCTACTTTTCAAACCTCGAGGAAACGTATTTTTTAGACGGGTTAAAGAAGTTGGAGCATCGCTGAGCCAAGTGTATCGAACTAAAAGGAGACTATGTTGAAAAATAAAACGCCACTTTTCCAAAATTTTCGTTTTTCTTTTGTAGGCTAAGTACTTATCGGACCACCCTCGTAAGGCGCCACTCAAGGCACTTTAGCCCCTTTCCTGTATATTATCTCACAATCATGCTGTTGAAATTCAAATACCCATCTTTCTAACCGACCTGTAAGTTCTCTTTTATTCGGAATTTTCGTAAGCGCGTTATGATCAGTAACTACAATTAAGTGTGATCTTTCTATGTACGGTCTAAACTTCTTTACAGCGAATAGAACGGCTAGAAACTCGATCTTACTAACTGTGTAATTACGCTCATGAGTGTTAAGCATTCGACTGGCGTAGCATATTGAATGCTCGCCGTCTTCGAATATTTGTACTAAGCACGTGCCAACCACAAAAGATGATACGTCGCAATATAAGTAGAAAGGGAGCGTGAAGTCCGGGCGCGCAAGAACAGGCGCCTCAGTCAATGCGCGCTTCGACCTTTCAAATGCTACTTGCTGTACTTCACCCCATTCCCACGGTTGATCTTTACGAATTAATTTTGTCAGAGGGACTTTGATATCACTTTCGTGTTCAATAAACCTAGAATACCAATCTACCATCCCCAGAAAGCGGCGCAACTAAGCACGTTGCTTGGAGCCGGATAATCTACAATCGGTTGCACTTTATTGTCATCCGGTCGCAAACCTTCACTGTCCAGGCGATAGCCCAAGTACGTTATTTCAGTACAGAAGAAGTCCGATTTCTCGAAGTTAATCTCTAAATCTACACTTGCTAACCTATTTAAGACTTTTTCTAACCAAACAACATGACTATCGAAATCAGTACTAACTACCAATAAATCGTCAACATACCAGAAAACATGCGGTTCGTATCCAGGTCAAAAAAGTGCGTCCATGACTCTCATGAACGTTGCCGGCGCGTTCACCAAACGAACGGCATTCTTTTAATCTCCCAGAGACCTAATCCCGGTACTGCAAAAGCTGTGTACTACTTGCTCGATTCCGAGAGTGAAATTTGCCAGAACGATGACTTTAAATCGATTTTTGAAAGATGAACCGCGCCACGCAATCTACCCAAGATTGAGTCCATGCTCGGCATTGGATACGCATCAATCTTCGTCACTTTATTAACCGGCCTAAAATCTAGACAGAACCTATAACCTCCGTCTTGTTTCCGTACAACTACCGGCGCACTACTCCACTGACTGAAAAGAAAAGAGCCTTCAAGAAAAACCCATTCTCGACCACGGCTACTAGGGATTGATATGACTCTTCCGTCGTTAGCAAAGGTACATCTGAGCCATGCTCACAATGGAACCACCCCAACCCTCCGCCTCCGATTTTTCTGCAATTGAGATACGTTGTAGTTCACAAAAATATAAAAGACCCGTATTTTTTTTATCGGCGGAAAAAGCTATATAAGGGATGAAACCCACCACCAAAAAACTACCCCAAAAGCAGTTCTATAGCAATATCTTCAGTTGTAATGAATATTTTTTTATGAAACAAAAAAACACAAGATACTCATAAAAAAAGTAACAGACACAAATCAATTTGGTCCCCGTGGGTTGCGACCCCTACGTTGTATAGAAGAAAAACTGTATTTTTAAGTATATTTTTACCTTAAAAAATCAAAAAATTATGATATTCTAGTAGAAAATGATAAAACAAAATTGATATGTTTCGGGGTTTTCCTATTATCTATTATTTCGAGGGTGAACTACCCCTTAATGTTATTAATACAATATAAGTAGTTGTTAATCGCAGATTATGCTGGTTATTTCATATTCTATGACGCTCAAAAAAGCCAAACACATGTATACTTTTGTTCTGCCGAATAAACTATTTAGAGGGTAAAAGCTACCCCGAAAGTTATCCCTCAACACCATTTTATAGCGAAATTTTCGTATTTTATGCACAGTTTTCGATGAAACAAACTCTAAAAAATTTCAGCTAAATATATGGATTTCGTCTACAGGGGTTGCAACCCCCTAAGTCGCCTGAAAGAAAAGCTATGGTTTCAAATATTTTCTTGCAAAATTTTTTCGGAAAAAATGAAGTTTATGAAATTCCGTTTAAAATCAAACACAAAAGTATATAGTATCCGTCACCAGGGGCTGCTATCCCTTCATTGGAGAGTGAACAGAGCATTCATTTGTTGCCCTGATCCCCTACCATCCCGAACCGAATTTCCTTAACGCCACGCTATAACCCGTAACTCCTACACCTCAATTTCATCAACCCTCGAGCTGGTTACCCTACCACGCTCTAACCCCGAACTCCTACACCCGAATTTCATTAATCCTCGAGCTGGTCACCCTGCCTTGATGTAACCCCGAACTCCTGCATTCCAATTTTCTGAAATCCGGAACTCAGCTCCCTGTCATTCATAATCCCGATTTCGAAATATTTATAGTATCTTCAAATAAAAGGACATATGCACATTTTTTATAGAAGATAACATTTAATTAATTACGTATATTTATGTATAGGTAGGAAATAGCAAATGCAAGTACGAAATCATGCAAATTTTTGAAGTTCAAAATAGCTACGCGGAATTTCATCTTTAAATCATTATGTTCAACAAATATTACTACTATCCCTGAGGAAATTCGATTATTATGTTATTATGAAAAAATTCATTAAATAAACTGATTTTACCATACTAATAGGTATATGTACGTCTTTCGCTAGGCAGTTTTAGCCAATATAAAAATACTGACATGAGATAATGTTACTTTTATTTTCCACCTTAAACACGCTCGAGTATGTGCATGACAAAACAAAATCAAACTGTGGCATGACGTGGAAACCACAATCAACGATTGCGGTTCATGTAGCTCAAATAGCAAGATTGGAACTGTAACTGTCTTTTTCCTTGATAGAAACCACAATCAACGAATGCGGTTCATGTGGTTCAAATAGCAAGATTGGAACTACAACTGTTTTTTTCCTTGATAGAAATCGCAATCGTTGACGTATGTGATAAGCCAAGATCTAACAGTGGAGGAACCTCGGGCACCTTGATTTGATATCGGTTTGTGTGGTGGCAACTTCAAATCATGTTTTGTTCACTTACAGTATATATAAGGATATTCGATCATCATACTTCAGTAAATTAGTAATAGAACTTTGCTTTACATCTACGTTTTTGAATATCAAAATTGTGTTAGAATGGCAATTGAAATTCACAACGTCATTCGAAAATTACTGAAAACATTCCGCATAAGTGTGGTTGTAGAAAGCATACCTATGTTTAACGATGTAGAGAAGCAGCTACACGATTATGTCGAAGATATATTGAGAAAAAGCATTGGAACGAATTCAGGTATTGAATGTGAGACAAGTGAGAACTTATGTTTCATGGATGATGATTTTGATATTAATCCAGAAGTAATTGACGATCAATTTGAAGATATACATGGTGTAGACTATGCCGAGGTACCTACTTGTACGGTAACAAATACGTTACTCGACAATGAATATAAAAGAAAAGCTGTTGAATACTGGGAAACTGGTAAGAAAAAGATACTGTCTTTAAATTCCGTCCAGAGTAAATATAAACAAGCTACGTCAGAACGTTAGTTGAGAATATGGAAACAGCAAATTTTGACAAGCGGAACCAAAAGAGAGAATCTGTTTAAAGTTTCAGAATATACTTTACAATAACTCAAAGATGCTTTAGATCTGAAGTTAACAGTGCATGATTTAGATCTTAAAAGATGGGCTTTACAAAAAAAGTATGAGTTAGATATGCTTTGGTGTAAAGCTTCACCCAATTGGATATTACTATTCAAAAAAAAGCATAAAATTGAATCGCGTAAAGTAACTAAATATGTGATTTAGGTATATGTTGAAAATGAGGCTAGTTTAAAGTAAGATTGTCAAAATTTTATCAACCTCATTAAAACAGAATTATCAACCAAAAGTGCAAATAACATATATAATTCCGATCAAAGTGGATTCAATTTAAAAATGCATATTGGCAGAACATTGAGCGAAAAAGGTAAGAAGACAGTCGAATCAGTAGTACAGTCAATATCATCGACTACGTATAGTTATACGATTCAACCGACAATATCTGTAGAAGGTACATTGCTATCACCCCTTTTTATGGTATCAAAAGAAACAAACGGAGAGTTTGGACCTATTGTTTCAAAAAAACTATTCAATGCACCTAATATATTTTTGCGAGCAAGTGCATCAGGAAAGCTGTTGAGTGAATTACTTCAAACATGGTTGCAACATGTATTTTTTCCTAACTGTGGGAAAACAGCAGTTTTATTACTAGAGTCATGGAGTGGACAGTGTGAACGAACTATAAGAGAAATGACACCAGCCGATATAAATTTTCGATTGATGACAATTCCTAAGGGTACGACAGGCAAAATTCAACCACTGGCTGTTTTCGGTTTTCGATTTTGGAAAAACTTTGTAAGAACAATATCTGATGCCATTATTTTATTCGGATCAGACATCAGTTTACATGAGAGGAATAATATTATAAAATTACAGTATATCACATATAATCAATTATCTTCACCTAGATATAAAAGCGTATTTAAATATGCTTGGTACAAAAGTGGGTACTTGGATAAAAAACCTGAGTCGTTCGACAATTCTGTTGAATATTGCTTCGAAATTTCAGAACAGTCTATCTGCAAGCTTTGTAAGAAAATAGCAATTATAAAATGTGCATGGCGCAAGAAACTAATATGTCTACAGCATTTATTTATAGAATATCATTATTGTTAACAATATATACAGTAATAATGAATGCGAATCTTCTTTTTATATTCAGAAAATGTAATCTTAATATCAGATGTAATGACGAATTAATATAACGTAAATATAACATAAAAATAAAATAAATTTAACGTTATCTTCTACAATTATTTCGCTTATGTCCTTTTCTTCAGAGATATTACTAATATGTCGAAATTGGGATTATGAATAACAGAGAACAGGGTTTCGGATAAGAAAATTAGAATGCAGGAGTTCGGGGTTACATCAAGGCAGGGTAACCAGCTCGAGGATTAATGAAATTCGGGTGTAGGAGTTCGGGGTTAGAGCGTGGTAGGGTAACCAGCTCGAGGGTTGATGAAATTCGGGTATAGGAGTTTGGGGTTCGAGCGTGGCAGGGTAACCAGCTCGAGGGTTGATGAAATTCGGGTGTAGGAGTTACGGGTTACAGCGTGGCAGGGTAACCAGCTCGAGGATTGATGAAATTGGGGTCAAGAGTTTGGGGTTACAGCGTGGCAGGGTAACCAACTCGAGGGTTAAGGAAATTGGGGTTAAGAGTTGGGGGTTACAGCGTGACAGGATAACCAGCTCGAGGGTTAAGGAAATTGGGGTTAAGAGTTTGAGGTTACAGCTTGGCAGGGTATACAGCTCGAATGTTAATGAAATTCGGGTGTAGGAGTTAGGAATTAGAGCGTGGCAGGGTAACCAGCTTGAGGGTTAAGGAAATTGGGGTTAAGAGTTTGGGGTTACAGCGTGGCAGGGTAACCAGCTCGAGGGTTAAGGAAATTGGGGTGTAGGAGTTACGGGTTATGGCGTGGCAGGGTAACTAGCACAAGGTTTAAGGAAATTCGGTTTGGGATGGTAGGGGATCAGGGCAACAAATGAATGCTCTGTTCACTCTCCAATGAAGGGATAGCAGCCCCTGGTGACGGATACTGTATACTTTTGTGTTAGATTTTAAACGGAATTTCATAAACTTCATTTTTTCTGAAAAAATTTTGCAAGAAAATATTTGAAACCATAGCTTTTCTTTCAGGCGACTTAGGGGGTTGCAACCCCTGTAGACGAAATCCATATATTTAGCTGAAATTTTTTAGAGTTTCTTTCGTCGAGAACTGTGTATAAAATACGAAAATTTCGCTATAAAATGGTGTTGTGGGATAACTTTCGGGGGTAGCTTTTACCCTCTAAATAGTTTATTCAGCAGAACAAAAGTATACATGTGTTTGGATTTTTTGAGCGTCATAGAACATGAATTAACCAGCATAATCTGCGATTAACAACTGCTTATATTGTATTAATAACATTAAGGGGTATTTCACTCTCGAAATAATAGATAATAGGAAAACCCCGAAACACGTCAATTTTGTTTTATCATTTTCTACTAGAATATCATTTTTAAAATTTTTTTAACATAATTTTTTGATTTTGTAAGGTAAAATTACACTTAAAAATACAGTTTTTCCTCTATATAACATAGAGGTTGCAACCCCCGGGGACCAAATTGATGTGTGTCTGTTACTTTTTTTGTGAGTATCTTGTGTTTTTTTGTTTCATAAAAAAATATTCATTACAACTGAAGATATTGCTATAGAACTGCTTTTGGGGTAGTTTTTTGGTGGTGGGTTTCATCTCTTAGATAGCTTTTCCCACCGATAAAAAAAAATACGGGTCTTTTATTTTTTTATGAACTACAACATATCTCAATTGCAGAAAAATCGGAGGCGGAGGGTTGGGCGGTTCCCTTGTCAGTCTCTCCCCTCACCGAAACGGACGGTGCGTCTGTACAGACAACAGGACGTTTACTCAAAACTGTAGTGTTAGCGGGTTCGTTAAATACTTGTGTATTTTGTATATGCGAATTTATTGAGCTCGCTAGTCGTTAGATGTGGAAGCGTCCACATTCATCTGAACTTTGTTCTTTCTGAGAGCATTACACGCATCGTACTTAAGCAATGTTCCGCTTGTCGCCTCGTCCCGTTGTTTATGACCAACCTTAGCACTAACACAGTAAACCAAGTGTTTTTCGCCTTACGAATTACTTAATTTTTGGTTCTCTGGCTTTATAGGCCCGTTTAACAGCGAGGAAATAAACTCTCCACTAACTACGAGATCTGATCTCTCCAGCTTCACGTCAGCTACATCGTAAGTGACTGCACTACCCGGCCTACAAATGACATGTTTTCTTTCCTTTGCACCTGACTTCTCATCTAAAACACTACTAACAGCGGGATCGAAATTCCTTATTTCCGGTGCGTCAACCCAATTACTTTTCCTTTTTAGTCGCTTCTCTATCCATACCGCCCGTTCAATTTACCTTAAGCAGGAGTCGCTAAACGGGCGACGGCTGCGCATCCGAGTTTCCCTGTCTTACTTGATTACAAACTGGACAGTTTCGGAAGACAAACCCCACGGTATCGCATACCTGACATATTGGCTTAGCCTCCGTCGGCTTCAGTGGACAACTATTTGCATAGTGCCCAGGTTGTCTGCACTTATAACAAGCGATCGGCCGCGTATTCTGCGCGGTCGGGCACTGAGACCTCTGATGGCCAACCACACCGCACGAGAAACACGCGCCAGCGAAAGGACGTTGTTCTTTCGCGTTGTCTACTTGATCGCCGTTCGCTCGCCCCCGATGCTGCGGAATTAAGCTCGGCGCAGAAAACACCTGGGCAAGCGGCGGCTGTGCTACAACATTCAGCTGCGCTGCCTGCTGTGAAGAGCGATTCGTCGCCTGCGGCTTGGTGCCTTGAGCAGCAGCCGCGGCAACTTCGCCCTTTGGCCCATTGTCCTTAACCTTCGCTTTCCTCTTGCTCGCGCGCGTATTTTTAGTTGGCTCTAACGTCAAAATCTCATCTATTTCGCTCGCTACCTGTTCTACCGTCGCGACTGCTTTCTTCCCGGCCGGCTTCTTAGGTTCGGTATAAGCAGACTCCGGCACGAGCGTAACGTCCGTACTCGGTGGACGCTGCCACCTTTTCCAACCCGCCATACGGTATTCTAGATCTAATCCTGTTTCCTTGAATTGACTCAAATTTTTGAACGTTTTTGTCTCTAAATAACGCTTGTACTGCTGGTGTAGCCCTTCCAATATGATAGCTACTTGTCTTTTGTCCGATACCGGAGGATCGAAGCGTCTCAAAATCGATTGAAAAGCTGCCACATAATCAGAGATACGCTCGCGTTCTCCTTGTGATCTCTGTCTTAGCTCTCTATACAGCTGTTATTAAGCCGATGACAAAAATTAGCCGAAAAATTCTTTTTGAATTCTGTTAGAGTTACCCACTGTTTATGATTAAGTTCGTACTACGAACGCGCTTTGCCACGAAAAGTAGTGCCAATAGCATTTAGCATCTCTTTATCCGAAATCCTATAGTAGCGCTGACAAATAAGTCCTCTAATCCTGACAAATAACTCATCACGCGCATGTCATCATCGCCAGAGAAACGAAGCGACCATGAAATCAACGCACTAACGCCATCGGCCGGCAAGCCATTTATGTACTTAACGCGTTTCGGGCTTTTCTTTTTCTTTTCAATTTTTACCGGCTTGTCGCCGTTATGCGACACGCTTTTCTTTCGATCCTCAACCTCAGACTCGGAGGACCTCGAGAGGTCAACAGTGCTGCCGTAGTCCGGTAAAATTTTCTTTTTTCCTTGACCAGCCTGCTCTTTGACGATCTCGTCGAAGCTCTAGACTGCAAGCCCGTGTCTATTCTATATGATTTTGAAGCGCGTGCGCGTTCACTACAAGGTGCGCGCATAGCGCTTTCCCATTCACGAATCCATGTCTCTGTTTCAGGTAAAGGAGGCGATTTATAAATAGTCTCCAGAAAACTATTCAGAAAGAGTTCCTGATCCACAGGTATTTCTCCGCACGGAGAATGCTTGAACGAGTCTAATGAGCAGGACCGGCAAACGCTGGCACATTGAGCGCCGCGCGGCCAGCCGACGGATCGGCTTGCAACGGCTGTTGAGCCTGTTGCACAGCCTGATTCGTTCCACCCTGCATTGCTTCTTTTTCTACCCTATAGACCGCATTGGTACCATCAGTGATACCTTGTTGCACTTCCCGTCGGTAAATCCATTGTGGTGTTACTGCACTAGCGGCAACGGTTGCTGGTAAAATTTCCTCCTCAGGAATAGGAGTGATAACCCTATCGCCCGGCGGCCGAATTAGCTCAGGCAGAATGGCAACGCTTTCTGTTGATCGCGTCGCCTGTCCTGGTGATCGCCACTCTGCCGCCCTTGGCGGCGCAATCCTAACCGGTTTGACCGTCGTACTCTCGCTTTCGTCGCTGCTAACTGCCGTATGCATCGGCTCATCGCGCGATAGATCAGGCACGCGGCCCGTCGTAAAATCGCTCGGCTGTAAGGGCGACCCAAGCTCTGGCCTCTCCAACGCGATCATGAAACGCAAGTACCTTTCCTTAAGTTCATCCATTTCGCCGTTCAACGCTAACCTACGGTAACGAATTATTTCAAGCAGGGCAGACGGCTCTATTGAATCGATGCGGCGCTTGAGTTCCTTAACGCGGGCATCGTGAAGCAACCTACGCATCGTATGCCGATCTTTGCATGCGAGCGGCATGTTGTAAAAAAAAATTTTTTTTTTAACGACGCAGTTTCAGTGGTGACGGACAGTCAAACAAACGCATGGAACGCGATAACCACGCTAGAATTTTAACAACACAACACACAAAAATAAAGAAACGAGAGAAAACCAAACAAAAACTAAACTAACCGTGTCTTTCCCGTGTCATATGCTGGCAAGTTATCGCCTAGCATAAGACTACAAAGGAATGCGTCGAGTGGTTGTAAGCGAACACCTCCACTAGCCGAATTCCACAACACGAACACGTCACGGCACGAACAACCCCGCCACGTCACGAGCCGATATCTGAAACTTATACTTACAAGGCGGCACGTTGTTTTCCAACACACGTCAGTTTTTGAGCATTTGACCTTTAATTGACCTTCTCAGGTCACAAATACAAACTTGAAATATCATTGTGGGTGTAATTGTTCCCGCACTACACGATTCTAGGGTTAAAAATAGGGGTTTTTATTAAAAAAAGCACTTTGACCTTCAGATGACTTTGAAAAACGTATTAAGGGTCAAAGTTGATGGTAGCATTTGATGGATCCCTCTGTCCCCTGCAACTTTTGTAGAGGTCATTTTTTGATAACGTTTGTTTTTACTAGGTTATGCGGATGGTCGTATTAAAATGAAACACCCTGTGTGTGTGAATATATATATATATATATATATAATTGGCAATGAAATAAATACATTTTTAAGAATTTTTTTTATTTTCCAGATACAATTGCAAGTAAAGTTTTCTCAGTCATATATATACAAAGAAAACTAAAAATATTTATTATATTTCATCTCATTAATCTTCTTCACATATGCAATCTAATCTTCATCGTCGCTATTATTATCTATAATTATATTTATTTTTTCGAAATCAAATAGGGTTGTCAAAACTTCTACCTAATGTATAATTTTTGATAAGTATGGAACCTACGCCAAGTAGTACATTAAAGCAGCGAAGTGAGACCAACAACCAATGGTTTTGTTTCCATTTGCACAAGAGTAACAATAATGTTCGATAGCATCCAAGCCACCGCCATTCTCAACATACTGTACATTTTAAGTAATACGGTCTAAAAGGTATGATTAAAACGATATGGTTAAAACGATATGTTGTGAAAGTTTTCGACTTGAATGATTAGAGATATTTTCCTTTTAAAAATATTAAATCAGTTACTGTGTGCCCTAATCATAACGGCAAATACATAACGATGTACGCAAACCAAAACATTAAATTAATGAAACAGTTTTACATCAATCGTTGCTGCATGGACTGGGAAGTGATGGATGGAGTCGTTGAATGATTTTCATAATTATTCTTTTAATAATATATTTGAAAAATAAGATGTTTTTATACCAATAAAAACTTTTTTTCTTTCATATACATACGTCATTGCTGAGAATTATAGAAAAACGTTAAAAAATCAATTGTATTATTTATTTTATACATAATATTTGTTATACTCGTATATTAACTAAAATTGTAAAAAAAAAACAGAAAAAAGGTTTGATCCTATAGGAATCGAACCCACGCCCCAGCTCCTTGGAAGTGAATAAATAATGACATGTGTATTTAATATAGACGGCGGATGGAGGATGTGACTGATGATGGTGCAATCGGAGAAGAAATCAGCTAGCTCACGCGTTGATCTTAAAATGTCAGATTACACTACGACTGCTGATTTAAAAACGCATGGATATCAGGACACATATGACCTGAGAGTGTTGATTTAAAAACGCACGGATTTCAGATTATGCGATGAGCTGATACCCCCACTTATCTTATGCTCACCTGAGCTTTCCTAGTTTATCTAGTTATTCTTACAATTTTAAAAATAGTATCAAATTTCAGCGATATATTTATCACACATCTAATATCATTCAAATTTCTTGACGTTTTTAGTATAAGTTAGAATACGAATTTTCTTTTGCATATCAAATTATGATTTAACATGAATATTTGACGTTTTTTCATCACAATTCTGGATGATGGCAACTAATCTGCATAATAATGAAATAATATGTACGAACAACCATTGAAAGCATTAAATCACTTTATAATAAATGACATTGAATTAACCAATGAAAGAATAATTTAAATTTCCGAAAATAGAAGATATGATCCTGGTTTTTATCTTGCGTAAGAAATTGCATAAAAAATATCATAAAAACTTATGTAAGTTCTTATGCAAGATCTATCAGTGGGTTTTCGTCGTAAGACATTGCGTAAGAAATCGCATAAGAACTTGACGACTATTTAATGTAAAACAATTGTTTTGATCAAAAAGATTTTTAAAAATAAAAAAAAATAAAATAATTTTTATTTTTATTTTACAATATTTGACTAATTTATTTATGATTTAAATATTCTACATTTATGCCGATAAATCAAGCATAACCGCTATACACATAGTAGTTTTACAAAAATTATTCTCCAGCCTAGAAATTATGACACAAGGTATGTTAATGCAGTAACTGATTTTTCTTATATAATTACCAATCGTAATTTTGCTTGGGAGTTACAAGCAGCTATAGGAAATCAATGTACTGTTTTCAAATACACCATCTATCTAAACATCAAGAACTAACAAAGTCAAATCTATTTCTTGGACTAGTTCATAAATGCATAGGCAGATAGTGTAATATTTTTATATTATGAAATAATATATAAATAACTACTGATTTGTAGAAAATTATTTTTGATAATTTTTTTACAAATGCTCTGGAATAATATGAGTGAAATGTAAAGATACTGCTCCGAAATAAGAAGATATGATCAACTTAATTTCAGTAAATATTTTGATATGATTGCAAAATCATATTTACCATTTTATTTGTATTTATTATTCCATGAAAAGGTCAAGTAATTTTATCCGTAAAACTATGACGTTTAGAACTTATGTCATTAACAGCTTTTTATTTGCACACCTATATATGTACAGAGATTTAAAAAAATAATGTATAGTAATATTTAACACATTATAATATATTATTATGATTTCTTGAACTGTTTGAGATTTGAGCTTTTTCTTTTAAGAAAATAACATTTAAATTTTGTAAAAATGTTCGTGTCGCGTGTTTTAGTAACATATTGTTAGATTGCTATATAAATTCCTACCTGAGTAATCATTTTTTATTTCCAAAATAAATAAGTTCGAATTTGAATTAAATTAAATTCACTGAAATCTAGTTTGTAATTACTTTTTTATTTTGTAATTTTACATAATCATGTATGCGCTCTTATTACATATTATGAGTTAATAACTCTATTAAATATTTAATATATAAATAGTGCAGATATTGAATATACCATTACAAGATATTTACTTATTAAAAATTTCAATCCACGATTGCTTTTATTTTGGGTTATTGTTACACTAATATCCCTAAATGAATTGGAAAAAATGTTGAATATTGATGACCGGAAATACTTCCGTATTAGTGAATTTTTTCATAGTCTAAATTTTATTTTAAATGAATAGAGAGAGAAAGAGAGAGAGTAAGAGTGGAAGGGAGAGAGAGAGAGAAAGAGAGAGAGTAAGAGTGGAAGGGAGAGAGAGAGAAAGAGAGAGAGAGAGAAAGAGAGAGAGAGAGAAAGAGAGAGAGAGAGGTCACTAATTTAAATGAAATATTTTATGTATTGTAACGGGGGGAGATCTTGCAAAAATGGGAAATTTATTTATAAGCAAACTCCCACGATGCAGAGCAAACCGCCGCTCCGTTAATCACGTATGTAAGTACGTGTATTCGC